GAATCAGTATCAATCACTCTCACTGACACCCTCCTCATTTGTATACATGTTTACTTATACACCCTGATAATAGAATTTCCTTAACCTTCCTTTTATCCCACACCCCCCCACTTCCCCTATCCCAGGTATTCTTCTCTCACCTTTTCTAATTTGACTTCTTCTAACCTCTAGTGATAATAGGGTTCAGAGGGGAAACGCGTATCATCTCCCCATATTTGAATGTGAACAGTTTATCCTCATTGATCTCTTACAGTTATTCGTTCATGTTTACCTTTTTATGTATCTCTTAACTTCTGTTTTTGAATTTCAAAGCTTCTACTCAGCTTTTATTCTTTCATCAGGATTGCTTGAAGATATTCTATTTCATTAAAGAGTCATTTTTTCCACTGTAGCATTATGCTCAGATTTGCAGAGTAGGTTATGCTTTGCCGTGAGCCTATATCCTTTGCTTTCTGGAATATTGTTTTCTAAGCTCGCCGCTCTTTTATGGTGGTAGCTCTTAGATCACATGTGACCCTTACTGTGGCTCCTCCATGTTTGAGTTCTTTCCTTCTGGCTGCTGTAGTATTTTTTCTTTGACTTGGAATTTCCAAATTTGGGCTATAATGTTTCTAGCAGTTCTTGTTTGGCGGTTTCTTTCAGGTGGTCTTTGGTAGATTCCTTCTGTTTATACTTTGCCTCTCTGTCAGGAGTTTATTGCTTGGGCAAGGTTTGTCATTCTTATGCCAGGTTGCTAATTATTTTTCTAATTTCTTCCATAACTCTCATTTCTTTTCCAGTTTTTTCTTCTAGTGTTTTTATTTCATTTATAAAAACACATAACTTTTTATTTTAACTCTTGCTTCATCTCTCTGGCATTCTAGTTGAATTTGTGTCCAATTTGTGTTTTCCTTTGAGGCTTTGCTTACAGATATTCTGGAGTCATTCCATTTGGGTTTGTGTGTTGAGCATCTGTCACCATAATTGGTTTTGGGTTTTGTTTTTTTTAATAGTAGGATTCCTTTTTTTTGTTTGTTTACTCATTTTTTCAGCCTACTTCCTGACTTTAGACTTTGTTAAGAACAGGCCCTACACACTTCTGGAGAGAAGGGTTACTGCTGTTACTGCTTTCTGAAGGTATTGAGCGTTGTGTTATTCCAGAATCTTAGGGACAACTCAGGTCGGGGACTTACAAGATTTCAGTGCTCCCAAAAGTGGTCTGGTCCAGGGGAAAGTCTGATTGCTGCCCACTGGTATGAGCTCTGTTAAGTTCCTGATCTAGGTTCATGTCTGAGCAAGAAAAGACTGCCCTAGTTCTTGCCCTGGTTATTCCTCCGCAGGCTTAATACTGGAAGCTAGGACTGAGACCCCCACTCTGCTCTTGGAATCTGAGCTACATTGCAAATTGACCCTTACCCTGAAATGCCACCCCTGGGGACAGGTCCCCTCTGTAGTCTGCCCCACTGAGGAGTGGGCAGCCAAGCTACAAGATGACCCATGTTCTGTCACAGTAACCTAGTATGAGTCTAGGACCTCCTCCTGCCCTGGTGACCAATTTCTCCCTACATACTAGAGTATTCCACATGGCATCTCCTGGCCAGACCCTGTCCCTGATATTCCCAGCCTTCTCTGTCTCTTTATGTTGACCTCAGCTGGAAAAAGTCTCTGTGACTTTTCTTAGATTTCCCCATCAGGATTCAGTCTAGTGCAGGAGTTTTGGGGGAACTTGTTGTACTGCTTCCTGCTACACCACTCTCTTGGCTCTGCCTCCTCTTCTGTGCACTTTAAAAATGTTTCAGTGGCCGTTTTTGGATGTCATCATTGCTTCTTGGTCCCCCACAATTAAAAATGGAGAGAAATAATGAGAGAAAAAGAGAGAAAGATTGTTTAAAAAAAAACATAATCAAGCAAAACGAATCTACCCAGTGACTATGTCCAAAAACATATATCTCCTCTATACCTTATGTTCTTTACGTCCCTCTCACAAGGTGGGTAGGGTACTTAGTCATAGGTCCCTTGGACACACGATTGATCATTGCATTGATCAGAGTTGTTTAGTCTTTCAAATTTGTTTTTCTTTACAGTGTCACCTTCCTTGTAGATATTATTCTAATTCTACTTACCTCACTCTGTATCATTTCATACTACTCAGGGTTGTCTGTAATAGTCACATTTGTCATTTCCAAAGCACATTGATCTTCTCTTACATTAGTATGCCACCATTGGCTCAGTTATTCCCCGTTGTCTAAGAGGCCATCTAAGGCACTCCCTCCTCCTTAGATTCAGGTCATTTGCTTTTCTTTTATTGTCCTCCTTTTTCATCTCTCCTTCACGATCAGGAAATTTGTTTGACTTGTAACTATTCCTTTCCAGTATTATTCTCCCTGTTAATCCCCTTCCCTATTCCCATTTATCCTCCTGTTGAGTTTGCCATATTTCTGCACCAGATTTTTGTATGTTTGTGTTCAACCCTCCTTTGTCCATTTCAGGAAAGACTGAAGTTCATCTGATGCCCACTCCCCCTACCCTTTCCTTCACTTTTGTACACTCTTCTCGTGAAGCCCAATTATGAGGAATAACAAGTTCCGTCTCCTTTTTCTTCTTTTGTACATTAGTATATTCCTTTTACCCTCCCTTCTTAAACACTCAGAACAACCCCTCCACCTCCAGGGCCCTCTGTTTTTCTTACGTAATTCCCTCAGTTCCCTTTGAAGACATTTAGGTTCTGGAAAGACACTCTTTTCTTCTCCCTCCAGTTATAATGTTCACACTATGTTATCATAAAACTGCTTCCAACTGGTCAGGTAAGGTTACCTTTCTGAGTTTCTTTTGATTAATTTATCTCACTCAGCTCTTGTCTTTTCATCTGGATTGTTTGGTATCTTCTATCCCTTTAAATGTCCTCTTTTTCCTCTGTAAGGAATAGTCACTTGTAACTTTATACCTTTTGCCTTTTAGAATATTGTATTTCAAGATCTGATCTCACTTATAGTAGATGTTACTGTCACTGACTGTGGTTCCTTGGTACTTTAAATCTTTTTTTTTAGTGGCTTACAGTAACATGTGAGCTCTGATTTCGGCTGTGACATTTCTGGGACCTTTCCTTTTTTTGTGATTACTTTAAGGAGGTGATGGGTTGATTTTTTTTTTTAATATATATATCTTTACTTTGCCCTCTGCTTCTAATAAGTCTGGGCAGTTTTCAATAAGTCAGTCAATAAACATTTATTGAGCACCAAGTACTATGCTGAGCACAAAGAACATATAGAAAGGGGCAAAAGACAGTCCCTGCCCTCAACATGCAAACAAATATATACAAAGCAAGCTTTCTACGGGATGAATAGGAATTAACAAAGGAAAGGCACTAGAATTAAGAGAGGTTGGGGAAGGCTTTCTGTAAATGGTGGAATTTTAGTTGAGACTTAAAGGAAACCCAGGAAGTCTGTAGTTGGATCTGAGGAGGGGAAGCATTTCAGGCCTGGGGCACAGCCAGAGAGCATCGGGAAACTGAGAGATGAAGTGTTCTGTTCACAGAACAACCAGGAAGCCAGTGCCACTGGGTCAAAGAGCATGTGATGAGGAGTAAGGTATAAGAATGCTAGAAAGGTAAGGGGGGCTAAATTATGAAAGGCTTTGAATGATAAGGTCAGAAGCCAGATTGTAAGAGGTTAAGAAGCGAGTGAGAGGAGAGAAAGTGGAGGTCCCTGTTGTAGAATGCCTTTTTGAGGAGTTTAGCTACAAAAGGGCAGAAGACATATAGGACAGTAATTAGCAGGGATGGAAGGATCAAGTGAGGGGTTTTTTTGGGAATGGGGCAGACATGGGCGTATTTGTAGACAGTAGGAAATGAGCCAGTAAACAAGGAGAGATTGAAAATAAGTGATAGAAAACATGACTAAAATGGAAATATGTTTTGCACGACTTCACATCTATAACCTATGTCAAATAGCTTGCCTTCTCGATGAGGTGGGGGGGGAGAATTTGGGACTCAGAATTTTAAAAAATGAATATAAAAATTTGTTTTTACATGCAGTTGAGAGGAAATAAAATACTAAATATATTTTTAAAAAATTAAAAAAGAAAGAAAACAGGTGAGATGACAGAGGAGGCAATCTCTTGGAGGAGGTGAGATGGAGTAAGATTACTTACACAGAGGTTTTAACCTTGTTAAGCATTAAAGCCACTTAATCATGTGAGATGGAGATGAAGGAGAAGAGAGTGGCAGAAGGCATTTGAGTGATAGGAGATGAGGAAGAGAAGAGGGGGAATCATGGTAGGTTTGAGGACAGCTAGGAAGGTTTGGAAGAGCCACTGTGGAGAGTGGGGTGGTGACTTGATAGGATTGCCTAGCAGCAGCAAGGACCCAGTCAAAACAGTCGCATGATTTTTTCCTCCTTTGTTCTGCAGCACATGTGTAGGAGCAAAGGTGGCAAATAATGGAAGCGATCTAAGGCTGAGACTTGGCAGGGCTAATTGGAGCTGACTCTGCTGACAGTCCCCTTTTCCTGTTGCCCAGGGGCTTCTGGCTTCCTGTGGTTTCTTACTGGGTTTGTTTTCCATTATTCAGGCTGCTGCAAACTTAAGAGTTTTACTGAAGTGAGTATATAGGAATTGATCCATCTGCCTCCCATTCATCCAGACTCTTGGCTGGAAGTCCTTGTACCAAACTTTGTATTGCGTAGTACAGTACCTTATCATATGTGGTAGGTCCTAAATAAATTTTGAACAAATGAAAGGTTGATTGACCAGGATTAGCTGTTATTGTTACTAAATACTTTACCCTAGACTAGACACAGTCCTGGGTCTCATTAGGTAGTTCAAACAACAGTAGTATTATCAAGTGCCAGACCAAAAATGGTCTTTCTTACCTGTGGATACAGCTGCTCAGTTGGAGTGTGAGGTTAGAGAAGCTCTTGGGATCTCTACCCCAAGTAGAAGCAAAGTGAATGTTCATTGACTCTTGTATTTGATGAAGATGTTGGAAAAGAGAACTAACTCTTTCCTTTCCTTTCCTTTTATAGGACTCATTAAAGTTGCGGTATTTAATGTATCTGCCAATGCCAGGACAAGCAACAACAAAAACAACAACTATCCAGTTGCCCAGGACTAGCTGAGAAGTGGGGCTTTCAGACTCATGTTTGAACAGAGTTGGCCTGCGGTCGACCCAGGATGGTCTGCTCAGCACAGCTGACTGCTAAAGTGCTGCTATCAGAAGATGTCTTTTATCTTTGGTGAATGATTGGAACTTTTAAACCCCCCACCACCACCCCACCCCCGCTTCCTTGTTCCTTCTTCCTTTCCCCACTGCACCTGTTTTCCCACTCTTTGGTTGCAGGCACAGATGACCTATAAATATATTTAGTGTTTTGCCAGAATCTCTGTCGCTTTGCTGTTAAGCAGAAGAACCAGTGCCCCTGAGAGAGCCCCTTCTGAGGGACAGGAGGACACTGCTTTGAGCTAGACAGCTTAGCAGCCTCTGCAGACTTTTGAGCTTTGGGAGCATCTAGCACCTGACTGAGAACCACCATTAATGAAGACAAGGCAAAAGTTTCCTAATGTCTTCTGGGGCTGTCCTGAGTGAAAGGGTGTGTGTGTATGTGTGTATGGCATTTTTGTGGTCTGTTACCACTGGCGTATCTGGTACATTGATCCAAGATCTCTTGTTTCTTCCTTTCTCTCACTTTCTTTCTCTCTTCCCTCTTCCCAGTTCTCTAACCACTTAGAAAGAAGATATATGACTGTCCTCAGCATGCTTGAGGTAGATCAGCTAGAAGATACCACACTCGAAAGGGTTAAAAAATTGTTCAGATAAAGTGTCCAGGCCGAGATTTTGCTTCAGGTTATCCCGGTAGGTGAGTCTTTAGTGGATACTGAGCATGTAAAAGTGGTACATAGGAACTTGGCACTCTTCACCTCTTTCCCCCCACCAAAAAAACAGTAATATGCCAGCCCTAGTCGTTGCCAGCCCCCATCTTTGTCTGCCTTTTTTTTTTTTTCTGGACACAGCAGTCTCCCTGATTCCATGTAGAGCATTGGAAGGAGGAACTGATTACATTTCCTCTCATTAACAATTAGATGTGTAATAAAAACAATTGTACTTCATCTTAAATCCCTCAGACTACAAAAAGGGTTTAGAGTGACCAGGGCCAATCCCTTGGGTGCATTCAGCATAACAGCTTACTTCTGCTTATATCAGGATGCTGAGCAGTCAAGTGGTAACATCATTCCTGCAATTGTGAACCAAATAGTTGAAGAAATAGTCAAGAGTGAAAAGATGATCAAGATTGCTTTGGGGTTAGTAAATACCATCTCCCCCCAAATAAAATCTAATCACTTTAACTTTGTATTGCAGAATCTGCCTGCGCTCTTTTCTAAACCATGTACTTACACATAAGATTGAACTACCATCAAAGAACAATCAGGCTGAAATTTGGGAAGCAAATTTCAACTAATTGAGGAGATTGAGATTGTATTAGCCATTCTTCCCCCCTCTTCTTTCCTTTCCCTCCCCACCCCAAACACACACAGATTTCTCAGGCAATTAGTTGATAACGTAAATGAATGACCCTCATTGGTGTCCAAATTAAATAGCTGCCTAGAAAGCATCCATGTTGGATCACACCCAGTGACCACGTCTCACGTGACCCTCCATAGTGTTAGCAAGGACACTGGGGAATCACAGAAGTTTACTCTACATGTTCCCAGACCCCGTAACATGGAATATGTGAACTTGCATGAACCATCAAACTGGGCTCAGAACAAGCAGGATAATCAAGGCCCTACCATCACGTATGTCCCTCCTCAAGTTTCTCATGGAAGCTTAGCCAGCAGATCCGTCATTTCCGTTTTTAATTACAGCTGATCAAACAAAACAACTTCTCAGGCAAGAGTGATAGCCTCAAAGTCAGGCAGAATCAGGAGGCTATTCCAGGGCTCTTAGAATCAGGCATCAGTCAAACACGAGGGCATCTAGCATGACTTCTGGAGGTGTGTCCAAAATGTGGCCTGAATAGACTCTGGTAGTTGAGTATTGATAGAAGAATTGGATACACGTATGTATGCTTTTCCCTTCCTTAGTATATCAGCACACACGCATTTGTATTCCAGGTCATAAGAAGAAAAATAATTTTCTAGCACAGAGACTAACCCCTCCGCAAATGCTGCAAAGGTTGATTTCCTAGTCAATCATTATTAGGGTCCCTTGTTGGGGTGTCTGCTAATGACTTTTCACATAATTGGTCTTTACTCTTTAATTAAGGATTTTGCTGCAGGTGAAAGAGAGGTATCAGTTCCAAAATGCATACATTTCAAACACTGAAATAAATGGACGTGAACTTGTAGCTATTGCAAAGGTAGCATACAATAGCCATAATACTAGCCTTCTGCTCTATGCTGCTCTTTAATACAGGGGAGATAATGGGTCATAATTGGTACTGGAGACTTGACTCTAACCCTAGGTCCTTTGAAGGTATGCTGTTTTCAAGACTTATCTCAAAGCCTATTTGGTGTACACCATAAAGAAACTTCTAGCTTTTAATGAGATTGAGCATGGATTTGGCAACTTCAGAGCTGTTAGCTCACAGGAGTACATTCCATGAACCGTCCTCTCTGCTGATGATGGAAAAGGGAATGAAGTTAAGTGGCCTGAAAAACTTGAATCTCACATTTCTGAGCTTTGGGGGTCATTTACCAGTGCATTGTAGAAGAAATAATCAGGTAAGTAGAAGTTCATTTCCAGAGAAGGTAAACCCCACTTACCATCTCTGCATGATTTCAACAGGAATTGATTTTCACTAATCCCCAACTGGGCTAGAATAAACATAGGGTCTGACCTTTTTAAAAAGAAAAGAGAAAAAAGAAAGTCTCTTAACCTGTTAAAAGGAATGATGGGGAAGTAGCTGAAGTAGAATAAAATACCTCCATTGCAGATGTCTTCTCATAAATTTATAGGATTCTGGTATTACTTTCTAAAATTCCAAATTTTAGAAATTCCTTCTTCTAAAGATGGGGTGAAACTCATTAAAAGGGAAGCATGTGCATGTACACATGTGCATGCCCACTTGTTCTCTTAACACAGCCTGAACTGCCTGGACAAAGGTATATAATATGCCTTGCTGCAAACATGCTTATTTTGAATGCTAGAAGAACTTTTTATGTTTAAGTCTGCAATTTAAAAATGAATATGAAGGAATTGTGAAGGGGAAACCTTATTATGCGGCTGTCCCTTGGCAGAGTTCTTTTAGCTAAATCCTAACATTCTGAGAGACTCTAAACTGAAACACTGGCATGTATTAATGTCTATGATTGTCATAAATGTGAAAACCTTTGACCTCTTACTGAAGAGAGTCTGTGGCTACTCCATGTTGGTCTCCTGCTTGTGTCAGAACGAATTTCATCTTTTGATTTGGTACAATCAGAAGCTGAAGATGAAAGAAATACATTTCTCTCGCCCATTTCTCATTGGTCTGAACACCTGTAGTTGGCAGTTACCTGATTTAACACATTTCTTAAGGGAGAAAGAGATTTTTCAGTAGGGGAAATTGGAAAGAGTTTAAGTGATTTTTTTTTCCCAGGATTGAATTGGACATGTTAGAGATTAACCCTTATTGAACTATTGCCCCATTGCCTCAAGTGAGAGTGATCCACACCCAAGTCATGTGGCCTTTGGGACCTAATCTACAGGTCTGAATCTATGGCAGCCAAATTGCTTACAAATGGAAAGGGGAATACCCAGAGTTGACTTCTCACACCTTCACTCTGTTGCATGGCACACTTTGGTCTTTATTTCCTGATCAAGTTTAGTTTTACTCCATGGCTTTTCTCCCCATATATTTGACCTCCTTATGTACCTGAGTTATGTAAACAGGCTTACCAGGACCTGAAAAAATGATTTTCTACCTTTCTCTCTGTCTCCCCCATTCAAACATGAGATTTATCTCCTTCCCCTTTTGACAAAGGATGCCATTGTTACAGAGATGTCAGGTGTCATCATTGCAGGCTTCCCTTTCCATAGCTGAATCCATCCTTCCTCTCTTCCTGTAGCTAGTTTCACTATACTTTGTACCATTAAAGGTGAAGATCTTAAGGAGCATGAGCTGAGTTGAGTGTTGCATTCCTTTATACCTTTGCTCATTGCTCATAACCAGAATTTTGGGTACTAAGGAGAGAAAGTGGTAAGTCCATGAGTGTGGCTATCTGATTTCCAAGTGGAGTTCAGAACCTCGCTGTTGGAAGTTTAGCTCATGTGACCGGAGACTTCCCAGAAAGAGGACAACTGAAAATTGTTTTCTGACTAATGCAGCTGGCAACTCAGCTACTTTGAGTAATAGGGCTTTTCTCTCCGACTTTGAATGTCATTGTAATATTTTGCTCCACTCCCCCCAACCCCTGCACTTGGCAACTCTTGGCACAAAAGGAACCTATAGTTTGCTAGGGTGTGGGTGGGCTTGTGCAATCACCTGGACTCTCTGTACTCAGAAAAATGCAACCTCCTTTAATGCTTTCCCAGATTGGTGAGGAAGTGAGTTCAACCTAAGCTGTGGTTGAAAAGGGGTGTTCAGACAGACTAGAACTAGGAGAATGGGGCTGAAAGTATAGAGATGTGAGGTTTCCTGGGAGATTTTGGTTTGTTTAGCTTTTTATTCTCTAGACTCAAGTAACAAGTGCTTTGACTTTTGTGATTATGTTATGGCGATGTGTAGTTAATGTACTAATATGTTCAAGAGCTAGGATCATGGTAATAGAGTGTGTTTTTTTAACTGTTCAAAAAAAAAGTAACTTAAATTACAAATATAAGATTAAATTGTGAGTTTGCTAAGTGTCTTGTCTCTTTACCCAGCCATAGGAAGGAGAATAAAATTGAAAAGCAGTACAAGTTACTAAATATAAACAATAAAATAATAAAGCATTCACCTATGAGAATAAAACCTTGAAGTGCCAGAGAACATTGAGCTAAGCCCTGAGATCAACCATGATGTGCATGGTCCTGGTTACAAAGCTCTTCAATTTATATTCTGATTTCTCTCTCTCTCTCTCTCTCTCTCTCTCTAACACACACACACACACGCGCACACACACACACACACACACACACACACCCCTTCTCTGCATCATAGTTGGTCAGCTCACCAAGAGACTTGCATGTTGGCTATACTGAGCCCTAACAGAGGCTACTTGAGGCAAGACAGTCATAAGCTATGAAGAATAGAAAAATATTGGTGATTCTATGGGCAGTCATGATGTAATTCCTGAGAATCCCTTTCCCAAATACAAGATATTTCTCCTTTTGTGCCATTTCCTATAGGAATTAGCCTCTAAGGTCTGTCTAGGACTGATGGTAGCAGATGGTACCTGTCTTCTCTGATGCTGTGAGATTGGATCTGGTAAAGGAGATCCTTCTAGATTCTGTACCCCCTTCCTTATGAGGAGTTTGTGGTATCTGTTGTCCAGTCCCCTCTCAGGCCCCTTCAGTCCTCGTAGAAGATCCTCTATAGCCTTCCCATAAGGAGAACAGCTTTTTTTCCCTTCTTACTGGTGGTGACCACCTCTCTGCTCCTATAGGAGAGTATCACTGTACCTCCAGAGACTTTGATGTTAGAGGCCAGGGAGAAGGCAAGTGCCCTTACTAAGGCAAACCTAATCGGGATATTTCATTACTAGTCTGATTCCTGGCCTGGTCAAAGCTTGAGCTTTGGAAAGAGTGAACTCCATTCTTAAAATTCTATCAATATCAAGCCTCTTTTACCCCAAAGAGGCTGGGGTCCCTAAAGCTGCCTTTGCAAAACTCTCACTGCTCTCTTCATTCTCTGGTCTGGGACAGCAACCTTCTTCCTTCACAGCTGCTGCTGCCATCAGCAGTGATGGAGGTGGAGTGGAGAGGACTTCCCCTCTTCCTGATTGGCTCTTACCAATTAAGAGCATTTTATTAGACTGCTAATTAAAGGCACTTCGTTAGCAGCAGGGGAGGGTGGGTGGGTGTCTGGATGCTGATGGAGCTGCAACTGAGAGAAATTGGTTTTCTCCCCCCATCAACCCTAGCCTCTTCGGACCCCCCTCAGTCCTGAAGCTTCTCCTTCTACCCGACAAACCCTTGGCTTTCAATTAGCAGCTCTCGGGGGAGCAAGGTCATTAGTATCTGAGCCCACCCCCTTCCCAAGCCCATGTGGACTTGGGAGGATTGGGAAACCTTTTTATCATTTGAGACCCTAGAGAGGCAGGGGAAGACCATGTGGTAAGAGTAGGAGGATGTTCCCTGTTAGATCTAGGGGAGGCTCAGAGAGAAGTTTTCTTGCTGTGGAGAGGAGCTGTTCATTCCTAAGTCTGTGCTATCGACCCTTCATCTGAGACTATCAACACCTACCCTTCCCCAGGCCAGGAACCCATATATTCCCTTTAAGCTCTCCCGTGCTTTGGTGGGGGAGCAAAGCAGAGAATCTGTGGATCATGGATGGGGAAAGAGACGATTGGTAGCTCTAGTCTCCGGGCCACAGCTGGGGTTTAACCATTCTGTAAAATCACATTGTTAGTTGTAGTTTCATTCACATTGTCACAGTCAGCCACAGCGTGTCACGTTATTCGTATTACTCAGGTGGGTAGTGACTGTCCTCACACTGAATTAACTTCCTTGTCTCTGGATTCTCATCATGGGATCATTTGAAAAATCTGTCGTTTGAAGAAAAAATTATCTAAAATGATCAAGAGAGACTAAGAGACATGGGTGAAGATTTAATGGGTGTGGAGGCTTGTATTTTCTGTCCTGAAAGGCTGTCCCTTTAAGTCTGAGATGACTGCTGGGGGATACTACCAAAGAAGTCCCCTATGGGTCCTTCCCCATAAGGGGGACAGGAATCAGTTGTGATCAAGAGCATTGACACCAGCAATTGAGGGTCACCCTGAGGACAGCCCTACCCCCTCTTCCCCCACCCTCCACCACCACCACTTAGCCACGGAGTTAGCACCAGGGAGCTGGACTGGGAGGACAGATTTATGGCCAAGCCTAGCTCTCTCTGTTTAACCCGAAGCCGACTTGGGCTGCAGACACTAAATTAGATTGTTGACAATTAGAGAGACTAATGGGAGTTTGGCCGTCCCCGGAGCCAGATAGCCCAGCAAGGCTGCCCTTTAATAACCACCGATCATAGGCAGAAAACCCCACATACTCCACCCTCCCACACACACCCCTTCAGGAGCCTCATAATTGGCAAGGCCAGGGCCTCAGCCCTCCAACCAGTGTCACTGTTTAACCATTCCCTCTTCACTTTCATCCCCCATTCCCCCCCACCCTGTGTCTTCATAGTATGGTGGAAAGAGGACTGACTCTAAAGTCAGAGGACTTTGGTCCAAATCCTGCCTCTTGATACTGCCTATGTGGGTAAGTCATTTAAGCCTTCCTGAACTTCGGTTTCCTCGTCTGCAAAGTAAGGCAATTGAACTAGATGGTCTCTAAAGTTCTTTCCAAATCTGCGCTTATGATCCCCTCTCACTCTCCTCTATTCATCTTATAGGGTGTCCCCTATGTCCTACTTACTCTCCCCTCTGTCCAATCCCCCATTTCCTTCTACATACCTTCTCTCCTCTTCACCTTTTTTAACTCTTTCCTTCTGCTTCTCAATTCCATTTTCCAACTTCCAAATCCATTTTCTCACACTATCATACCTGGTAAACCCTGGGTTTGGGGGTCTTTCTCCTCCCTCTTCTAGTTTCCCATGGCCTCTGACTTTGTTTCTCTTCTCCGTCTATCATTTCTCCATCTCTTTTCATCTCCCATCCATGCCCATCCACAACTCAATCCAATAAACATTTAGTAAGCATGTACAGGCCAGTGTGTTGGACTTTGGGGAAAAAGGGCTACAGAGCTCAGCATGGTAGAGCATATGACATACATGACTGTAACAGAAAATATTTAACATGCATAAAAATGGTCTAAGCCAAGTGTTTAATGAGGTTGGGGGAGAGGGGGTCAAGAAAGGCTTCCTAGAGAAAGTGATATTCAAGTTTGGCTTTAAAGGATGAGGGGGGGAATTCAACAAGGGAGGGAAGAGAGTATCCCAGGATATAGGAAGCTATCTGAGCAAAGACAGGGAGGCTGGAAGCTTGTGGAATATACAGGTGATGGAGTGAGCCCAATTTGGCTGAAGCAGAGAACATGGCAGGCGTTAATACGAAATAGGCAAAGAGGTGGCCATGTCTGTCTCCTCCTCTTCCTCTGGATGTGTGTGTTTCTGTCTCTAAGTCCCTTTGGATGTATCTTCGGATATATATGCACATTATCTCAGCAACTAAATCAGGAGTTCTTAACCTTCTTTTCATTGTGATCCACTTTGGCAGGATGGTGAAGCCTATTCTCAAAATGTTTTTAAATGCATAAAACAAAATACACAGTATTACAAGGGGAAACAATTATTGAAATACAGTTGTCAAAATGTTTTTAAAACAAGTTCATGGGTCCCAGGTTAAGAATCCCTGAACCATGTTACAAATTTCTTGAGTGCAAGGGTAAAGTCAGTACTCAACAAATATTTGTTGTTGACTCTATGTATCTGAGTCTCTGTCAGTATCTCCCTCCCTCCTTCCAGCTAACTGGCCTCATCTTCAGAGTCCTTTAAGGAGTTTGCTTAGAGTGTAAGTCTCTGGGCCAGCCCCATGAGGCTATCATGAGGGTATAAGTCCCTGCATCTCTTGAGCCTACTGTCTCCCTGCCTACTTCGGGCCCTCTGACTGAGCCAGAGCCTTGGTAACTGGGAGGTTGGGGGTATGCATGGAGGAGTAGGTGGGTGGTAATGAGGTTGCTGTGAGTGGTGGTGTTGGGGGAGAGGCTCACATTCACTCAGGCAGACTCATAGCTCTGTCAGACTGATTGGTCCTGAGCGGAGGTGCAAACGGCCCCCCGTGGACACGCTGAGATTGGTTATAAAATTACAGGCATTTGTTCTGCTGTCAGTGCCCCCCCCACACACACACACACACCCGCACACACACACTCCAGGCTCTCCCCCACCTCCAGGGTCCCTTCCTCTCCAGTGCTTTAAGCCTGATCCTCAGCCCCAGGAAGCAGTCCCTAGGAAACAGAGATTGGGGAGCACCACAACTGTTCAAGGGCAGTAAGTACTCACAACTTAGGCAGAGGATAAGGGGGGAAGGAGACAAGTCTCAAAATGACACCCATAGGAATGGGGGAGGGGAAGAGGGAAGGAGTTTGGTCCTTCTGTTTCCAGTGGGTAAACTGAGCCTGAGCAGTCATAGGACCCTTTCCCACCCCCATGACAGGATAAGCCAGTAGAGTTATAACCGTGGCATACCAGCCTCCAAAGCTCAGGGTTTCAGAAGGAGAGTCCAGGTTCTTCCTAACCCTAAGGTCACTGTATCCTAAGGTAGGAGGAAAAGGAAAATAAAATGGAAAATATGGAAAATAAAATGGAAAATTTTCCATAAGATGGAAAATACTTAGATCACAAACCCTGTTCCAGGCTATCTGTCCTTTACTCATTTTCTGTCCTGTTGTGAGGATGGCCATACTCACCTCATTCCCTCCCCTGTTCTTGGCTACACATTTGACACAGAGAAGGCCTCACCATAGGCTCTCTCCCCAGCCTCTAAGCCAAAGGTATTTAAAGAAATAGAATGTGTAGTAGAAATAATGCAGGGCACTTTGGGCTCGTCACTTTAAGAGAAGGTTTAAATTCCTCATGTGTAAAATGAAGATAATCAACTAAGTACTGTGTTAAATCAGGAATAAGATTCAAGACAGTTCTTGCCCTCAAGAAGTTTATAGTCTTAAGGGGAAAAGACAACACGTAAAGGGTAGCTTGAAATAGGAGG